CATCATGTTTGCGCATGTTTAATCTACGACAATCGAGAGTCCAAGACTGCCTTGCCATTGGGATTTTGATCAGCATGACTCAAGCATGACTTTCGAAATCATGCGACTTGCGTGGGCTTTGTTGCAGGCTCTTTTCATGCCTGGAGTCATTACACGGCTGTGTATTTGAATAGGGATCTGCAACTGATCACCTTTTTTGGTATAATTCCCCAAACAGTTTACTGTTAGTGGTTCTCAATTCTTTCTTAAGATGTGTCCGCCCTTTGTGTCACTGCTGGTGTCCGCTCTTTTCCGCTGGCCATGTAGCATTTCTATTCATTCGTCTCCCAGGTCTGTAACTGGCGGCGATGCAGCATTTCTATTCATTTGTCTCCCAGGTCTGTCACTGGTGGTGTCCATTCATTTGTCTCCCAGGTCTGTCGCTGCTGGTGTCCGCCCTTTTCCGCTGGACATGTAGCATTTCTATTCATTTGTCTCCCAGGTCTGTAACTGGTGTCCGCCCTTTTCCGCTGGCGATGCAACATTTCTATTCATTTGTCTCCCAGGTCTGTCACTGTTCGCTGGCCATGTAGCATTTCTATTCATTTGTCTCCCAGGTTTGTCACTGCTGGTGTCCGCCCTTTTCCGTTGGCCATGTAGCATATCTCTTCATTTGTCTCCCAGGTCTGTCGCTGCTGTTGTCCGCCCTTTTGCCGCTGGCCATGTAGCATTTCTATTCATTTGTCTCCCAGGTCTGTCACTGGTGTCCGCCCTTTTCTGGTGGCCATGTAGCATTTCTATTCACTTGTCTCCCAGGTCTGTCGCCGCTGGTGACCGCCCTTTTCCGCTGGCCATGTAGCATTTCTATTCATTTGTCTCCCAGGTCTGTAACTGGTGTCCGCCCTTTTCCGTTGGCCATGTAGCATTTCTATTCATTTGTCTCCCAGGTCTGTCACTGCTGGTGTCCGCCCTTTTCCGCTGGCCATGTAGCATTTCTATTCATCTGTCTCCCAGGTCCGTCACTGCTGGTGTCCGCCCTTTTCCGTTGACTACGCAGCATTTCCATTCATTTGTCTCCCAGGTCTGTCCATGTAGCGTTTCTATTCATGTCTCCCAGGTCTGTCGCTGCTTGTGTCCGCCCTTTTCCGTTGGCCATGTAGCATTTCTATTCATTTGTCTCCCAGGTCTGTCACTGCCATTTGTCTCCCAGGTCTGTCGCTGCTGCTGACCGCCCTTTTCCGCTGGCCATGTAGCATTTCTTTTCATTTGTCTCCCAGGTCTGTCACTGGTGTTGTCCGCCCTTTTCCGTTGGACACGCGGCTTTTTTATTCATGTGTCTCCCAGGTCTGTCGCTGCTGGTGTCCGCCCTTTTCCGTTGGCCATGTAGCATATCTATTCATTTGTCTCCCAGGTCTGTCGCTGCTGGTGTCCGCCCTTTTCCGCTGGCCATGTAGCATTTCTATTCATTTGTCTCCCAGGACTGTCACTACTGGTGTCCGCCCTTTTCTGCTGGACATGTAGCATTTCTATTCATTTGTCTCCCAGGTCTGTCGCCGCTGGTGACCGCCCTTTTCCGCTGGCCATGTAGCATTTCTATTCATTTGTCTCCCAGGTCTGTCACTACTGGTGTCCGCTCTTGTCCGTTGACTATGCAGCATTTCTATTCATTTGTTTCCCAGGTCTGTCACTGGTGGTGTCCGCCTTTTTCTGGTGGCCATGTAGCATTTCTATTCATTTGTCTCCCAGGTCTGTCACTGCTGGTGTCCGCCCTTTTCCGTTGGCCATGTAGCATTTCTATTCATTTGTCTCCCAGGCGTGTCGCTGCTGGTGTCCGCCTTTTCCGCTGGCCATGTAGCATTTCTATTCATTTGTCTCCCAAGTCTGACACTGGTGTCCGCCCTTTTCTCCTGGCGATGCAGTCACTGGTGGTGTCCGCCCTTTTCCCCTGGCCATGTAGCACTTCTATTCATTTGTCTCCCAGGTCTGTGTAGCATTTCTATTCATTTGTCTCCCAGGTCTGTCACTGCTGGTGTCCGCCCTTTTCCGTTGGCCACACAGCTTTTTTATGCATGTGTCTCCCAGGTCTGTCACTGCTGGTGTCCGCCCTTTTCCGCTGGCCATGTAGCATTCTATTCATTTGTCTCCCAGGTCTGTCACTGCTGGTGTCCGCCCTTTTCCGTTGACTATGCAGCATTTCTATTCATTTGTCTCCCAGGTCTGTCCATGTAGCGTTTCTATTCATGTCTCCCAGGTCTGTCGCTGCTGGTGTCCGGCCTATTCCGTTGGCCATGTAGCATTTCTATTCATTTGTCTCCCAGGTCTGTCACTGCTGGTGTCCACCGTCTTCCGTTGGCCATGTAGCATTTCTATTCATTTGTTTCCCAGGTCTGTCGCTGCTGGTGACCGCCCTTTTCCGCTGGCCATGTAGCATTTCTATTCATTTGTCTCCCAGGTCTGTAACTGGTGTCCGCCCTTTTCCGTTGGGCATGTAGCATTTCTATTCATTTGTCTCCCAGGTCTGTCGCTGCTCGTCTCCGCCCTTTTCCGCTGGCGATGCAACATTTCTATTCATTTGTCTCCCAGGTCTGTCACTGTTCGCTGGCCATGTAGCATTTCTATTCATTTGTCTCCCAGGTTTGTCACTGCTGGTGTCCGCCCTTTTCCGTTGGCCATGTAGCATATCTATTCATTTGTCTCCCAGGTCTGTCGCTGCTGGTGTCCGCACTTTTCTGCTGGCCACGTAGCATTTCTATTCATTTGTCTCCCAGGTCTGTCGCCGCTGGTGACCGCCCTTTCCGCTGGCCATGTAGCATTTCTATTCATTTGTCTCCCAGGTCTGTCCCTGCTGGTGTCCGCCCTTTTCCGCTGGCCATGTAGCATTTCTATTCATTTGTCTCCCAGGTCTG